TCTTGCCTCACTATTGTTTAACTTATATATCAACAAGATAATTAACATTTTTGCTAAGCCAGAATTTCATTCTCCATCTCTTGCCAATTGCCCCATTTCTATTCTCCTACAGTGGGGCAAAGAAGTATTTAGTCAGCCACCAATTGTGCAAGTTCTCCCACTTAAAAAGATGAGAGAGGCCTGTAATTTTCATCATAGGTATACCTCAACTATGAGAGACAAAATGGGGGAAAAAATCCAGAAAATCACATTGTCTGATTTTTAAAGAATTTATTTGCAAATCATGGTGGAAAATAAGTATTTGGTCACCTACAAACAAGCAAGATGTCTGGCTCTCACAGACCTGTAACTACTTCTTTAAGAGGCTCCTCTGTCCTCCACTCGTTACCTGTAGTAATGGCAGCTGTTTAAACTTGTTATCAGTATAAAAGACACCTGTCCACAACCTCAAACAGTCACACTCCAAACTGCGTAGTAATGGCAGCTGTTTAACCTTGTTATCAGTATAAAAGACACCTGTCCACAACCTCAAACAGTCACACTCCAAACTGCGTAGTAATGGCAGCTGTTTAACCTTGTTATCAGTATAAAAGACACCTGTCCACAACCTCAAACAGTCACACTCCAAACTGCGTAGTAATGGCAGCTGTTTAACCTTGTTATCAGTATAAAAGACACCTGTCCACAACCTCAAACAGTCACACTCCAAACTGCGTAGTAATGGCAGCTGTTTAACCTTGTTATCAGTATAAAAGACACCTGTCCACAACCTCAAACAGTCACACTCCAAACTGCGTAGTAATGGCAGCTGTTTAACCTTGTTATCAGTATAAAAGACACCTGTCCACAACCTCAAACAGTCACACTCCAAACTGCGTAGTAATGGCAGCTGTTTAACCTTGTTATCAGTATAAAAGACACCTGTCCACAACCTCAAACAGTCACACTCCAAACTGCGTAGTAATGGCAGCTGTTTAACCTTGTTATCAGTATAAAAGACACCTGTCCACAACCTCAAACAGTCACACTCCAAACTGCTTTTTTTCTCATTTTGTCTCTCATAGTTGAGGTCTACCTATGATGAAAATTACAGGCCTCTCTCATCTTTTTAAGTGGGAGAACTTGCACAATTGGTGGCTGACTAAATACTTTTTTGCCCCACTGTATATGTTGATCATGCAGCCATTCTATCTGCAACTCATGTGAGTCTGTGCAGATGCCTTAAATGTTTGTCATCTTATTGCTCTAGGGAACCCCTTAAAATTATTATACTAAACGAAAGTTTTAGTATTCTGAAGTAACCATTTTAAGTCTCCAAGTAGTTAGAAGTTCAGTGGGAGACTTATTGAGCAAATTAAAACCTTTAAATATCTAGGTGTCCACATTCAATCCTCCACTTGCTGGATGAATCAAGTGAGCAAGCTTAACATAAGAGTTCAAAGAGCATCCTTTGCAATTATCAAATCTGTAAGCCAACATGGTAACAACTATGTCCCAGCAGCAATTAAATTGTTTAAACCTAAAGTTTTGGGCTGATGTTATATGGTACTCATTGTGCATCTATAAGGACACTTCTAGATTTGACAGCATCCAATTAAAACTCCTAAAATCTGTAACACATAGTCCTCATTTGACTCTTAATGCTTTCATATGACTAGAACTAGACTGCATTTCCTTTGGGGCTCATCTGAGACTTTGTCGCCTTAGCTTCTGCTCCAAGCAAATATTTTGGGAAACTTTCTTGGTCCACCTTATCTTGTTAAGATAGATTTGTTTCTTTCCTAAGACGACAAATAAATTATGATTTGACATACAGTACTGTGGCTTTTTTCAATTCCAGCAATATGCATTCTTGGCCTCAATGAAACCTAGGCTCAATTTAAGAAGAGGATCTGGGACCAAGACATCCAACCTGACAGAGCCAGTATTTCCAATTCCTGCTATAGTGCACTTTCCCTCTCTTCTTCGACTATCCCTAGATATTTTTAAAACATTTTACACATCCCACAAAAGAGACTTTTCTCCCTGGCCCAAACTGATGTGCTACCCATTAGAGTGATAGCAGGCAGATATACTGGTACCCTTTACAAAAATCACACTTGTGTATATTCTGGTAGAAAGGCTGAAACTGAATCACATGTACTACTAAAATGTACACTGTACACTCAGTGATCAGAAATCTTAATTGCTTAGATGACCACTCTCCTCTTTTGTGACCAATTTCCAGATACCTCCAAGAAAGTCATACAAGATTCCATCCTGTCTCCCATTTTTCTTAATATCTATATGAATCTATTGGGAAAAATCATTTGCAGATTTGGTGCTAGTTGCTGCCAGAATGCTAATGATACCCAGCTGTACTTATTTCCAGACAGCTGAGAGCTGTATGTCTCAAGAGCCTCAGCATGCTTCCAGATAGGTAAAGAACTGGATGTTGGAGAACATATGAAACTGAATCCAGGCAGGTAGGCTGCTAATTCCAGGGACTAAACCACAGGGTTGGGATGATATTGCTGTTCTGGTTGTGGCTGCATTCCTTCCCTATAAGGAAATGGGAGGGTGGTCCTCCTCGATCCAGCATTAGTACTGGATAACCATATAACTGTGGCAAGGGAAGCCTTTTCTCAGCTTCAGCTGATTAACCAATTGTGCCCCTCCTGGAGGGGGCCTAGTTTCAGGTAGGCATGGACTGGAAATCTCAAGGTTGGATTAACATTGGGCACTCCTTGAAGACAGACCATAAATTGCAGAATGTGACAGCATATGTATTGAGTGGCACTCCAGGTAGTGCCATACAACCCTATATTGAAACATTTACATTAGTTGCCAGTTATCTCCCAAGCCCAATTCAAGTTGTTTAATCAGTATATAAAGCTTTATATAGCTTAGGTCCAAAGTATTTGCATGACTTTCTAAGCTTATACAGACTGCCTCATATTCCACGGTCCTAAATGGACCATGGATACATTTCACATGGAAAACAAATTCTACTTTTTCCATGGTGGGAGCAGTACAGTAGAAAACATTGCCATTGAACTTGACGCTGGCCCCAATAGAGTTTAGAAAGGGGCTTAAATCCAAGCTTTTTAACTAGGTCCTTTTTAGGGTTTTAGAGAGTTTAATATAGTTTTAATGTTGTTCTCAGATTTCAGAATTTATTTAATATAAGTATTTTTGTAAAGCCACTCATAGCTTTTGGAATGGTTGGCAGGGGAGGGTGTTTTTTATGCTTTCTGAACAAATATATTGTAATAAAACAAGATGATGATGATGATGATGACAATGACAACAATGGCATTACTAGGAACACTATGTCAATGACATTGCCAGAATCTAGGATATCTGTACTTTCTTTCAGGATCTCATTACTGGAAACTACACCATGCCAGGTGTTTTGATAAGGAAAGTATATTGAATATATTTAAGACAATAATTAAAAATGTTTAAATTCCAAATACATTTCGAATGGCTTCTATTTTCAGGATATTTCTCAGTAGTTTGGGCAGTAGTACCATTTAGATCCTTAGAAGCAAAAAAGAATAAATACCTAGTCTGCCCCTCAAATTTTACACATTTCTATCTTAAATGTCTAGATGATATGATGCAGATTGTTATTTTGATTATTTTCATTATTAAATATTGTCTTTATACAATACTAGTTGCTTAGCAACACTTCTCCCTTTTTGCTGAGTAGAAGTTCTCTTTCATAAGGTATCCTTAGAGTTTTAACAGCCATCACAACAAAATATCATACACCTAAAGGATCAATCCTGCAAATCATTCTCACTATACCACATACCATCATGACACAATATTTGCTTTTGTTCGTAGCATTTACTTTAAAATAAGTAACTACAGGAATAATTAAGACTATTTGCTCCTTTAATTACTGACATTCAGGACAGAACTTGAAACAATCCTTTTTGACAAGGGTTTTGAATGTTAATTCAGTGGTGTATACTGCTATTATATTATACCAGCTGAGCTTATCAATTTTATTTTTTATTACAATTTTATGTTTTTGAATTGTTTATTCATTTCAAGCTGCTCAGTTGGGCCAACATAGAAATAGAAATAAATAAATAACAAGCAGAATCAGATTTAGCCATTATCATTATAGTTCCCACATTCAGATAAACCAAAGAGAATGAATCAGCTCTGATCCAGTTATTCAGAAATAAATATATTGAAATATTTTAATGAAACAAAACTGCTAATCTGGAATAGCAAAGTCTATATAACAGAGGTATATTTATTAGGAAAGAAAATATAAAATACAATTTTGCTTCCATGGCAGGAATCCTAGACACACTGCATTTACTGGAAAAACAGGAATGGAATTGCACTGTACACGCAAAGTATTGTGAAGTGGAAGCAAGTAATGAAGTCAATGAGACCAAAGAGAACTATTCCATTTATATATTTGGGGGATACTTCTGTATCTCATTTTGCAGTTATTAAATATTGGTTCATATATTTGGGTATAAGCATGCAATGGGCTTTTTTTTTTTTTTTTGCTAGGTTTGCTGCCTAGGTTTGCAATTGGGAAATGGGTAGCTATATAAATTGATCTAATGAACTAACTAATAAACAAATGTCACTGATTTTCATTCAGGGATCTGTGACAGTATTTTTCAGACCTTGGATGAAATTCAAAGAAGTGATACGTGTGCACAGGGAAGAAATGCATGCACATATTAGCTTTGACTAAGAATCATCTTCTCTCCTTAAGCAATATTCCTCAACTTGGCACTCTTCAGATCTGTTGTACCACAATTCCTATCACCACCACTAATTTGATGCATTGGTAAAAGACAGCAGTGTAGCTTAACTTATCTGGTAGGCACCAGGTTTTGGATACTACATAGGAGCAGCTGCGAAGACAATATCCAAGCCTCAGTTCCAGCATTGCTCTTCTGTATATTTCTCCGCTGCTATCACTTCTTTGAATTATATTCAAGGTCTATCAAAATTATATGCAAGGTTTAAGTAGCTCATACCCTCCTCTGATGTGATGCTGATCATGCTTTACAATCTTATATGGCAGCATTCTTTCTCCCATGTTTTCCAAATTCCTCACCACTGCTCCTCTCTCCAGCAAAGCTTCCACAGTGCGTCTCAGTGTTGCAGCTGTCTCTGGCTTTAAACAGAAGGAAAAATACACACATTTGTTTATAATGCAGTTAATTACATTTACTCTTGCTTTATTTAATAAAACAGAACAGGGGGGAGAAAAAAGTGAAAAAATAACAAAAATAGAGAATATAACATATATCTTTGTGACATTTTTTAACATAACAGTTTTAGTAAAAGTTATCCATATTGTATTGTAATCATTCATGCATAATCTGCATCTAGACTCATTCAAAAGGCACAAGTAACACAAAGTCTTCAATTTAGTGGATAACTGGGGCCATAAATTTGTCTTTCCAATGTTGAAGAATTAATCTCTTGGCAATAATAAGGGCACAAAGAGTTCACTCACATTGTCCAACTGTCAGTGTCCATGTAGAAGACATGTATTTCAAAATAATGTGTGCAAAGTTAATTACAATTACTTTTAACTGGCTGGACTAGAAAGGAACAGAGAAAACACAGATATCAAAGAGAAAGTCCCAAAAGTTTGATTTTTCTCTTAACCATCTGCAAGAATGTAATGTCAGATTACATCCCCATTAATAGCAGTCTCATAAATGGTTTCTCAAAAGTTTTTTTTTTTTTGCAGTTTAATGAGATTTCAGAGAAAATGTGAATGTAGACTGCATTCCCAAGTCTAACATTTGATATACCCAAGTGTAACACTCCATAGCATGAAAAACTGAAAATAATTTATTCCTAGTTCCATTTTAGTATGGTTAAGCAAATGCAATTAATAAAGGAATTCACTATTTTAGATGGATGTGGAGGAGGGAAGAGATATTTAAAGAAGACTCTGAAGAAGCAAGGATATATTTTATCATACATGTATAGGCATACGCTATTGCCTGTAGCATCTCTATTCAACTTCACACAGGTATGTGTTACTTTAAGCTTTTAAACTGAAACATTTAACAGAATCTTGCTGGATCAGACCAAAGATCATTTAGTTTAAGATCCAGATGTTTACAGAAAGTGTTTAATCAGGACACAGAGACAGCAATCTGCTCCCCAGCATTTCCCCCATACCTATTGCTCTCTCTGAATCAGGAATTGCTAGTTGCTTATAGCTAATTGCTAATCTTCAGGCTCTGATTCTACCTAATCTTCCAAAATAATGCAAGCTTGGGACCATCACATCTTGAATCCACCACCTATCAGTCTCACTGTCAAATCCCAGAGCTATAGTGAAAGATGAAAAAATTATTTCTATCCCTTTTTCTACAGTATGCATTATTTTCTAGTCATTGGTTATCTCTCCCCTCATCCACATTATTTCTAACATTAAAAGATCTAAATATTTTATTCCTTCTTTCTTCTTTTTATAAGGGTGCAACTTATTGCAGCTGCAGTTTCATTCATCTTTCCCAACTCTACAATATCCTTTCTGGATAAAACAGCCAGAACTGTAAACAGTATTTAAAACATAGTACTACTAAGAGATATTTAGTAGTTTTGTTTCAATTCCTTTAATAACTCATAAGGAATTTGCCCTTTTCACAACTGTTGTACCTGAGTTGACACTTTCATTAAACTATCCAACATGATCTCACATTGTTTCATAGTTAAGGCCAGTTTAAAACCTACCACTGGATATGTAAAGCTATGGCCCCACAGCCCCATTTCTATGAACATTAGAAACCACTCTAATTTTTTTAAAAAATCAGCAGAATGGTTGCCCACCATTTTGAAAAATGCAACAGGAAGCCTGTTCCATCCTATTTACCCTCCTTAATCTCTCAGCAGCTTGTAATACCATACACCATGGTAACTCACTGGGATGAGTCTACAAGTTGGCAATTGAAGGCACTGTGTTGTGGTGTTTGCATTCCTACCCGTGGAGTCATTTTCAAAATAGGGCTGAGGGACTTCTGTTCAATACTATGGCAGTCATGCAGGGAACGCCATTGAGTTTAGTCTGATCTCCCATGGTGTTAAAGCCTGTATGAAGCCATTGGGAGAGGCCATCCAGAGATTCAGAATGAGATATAAAAATGCCTCTCAATTTTGTCTTTTTCATCTGACCCAGGAAAGACAATAGAACAGTGCCTGTGGGCGATGAAGGCAAATGCCTGAAGATGAATCATAGAAAGATAAACATGGCTTATTAGCCTTGAAGCTTACCATCTGAGCAGTTCTCCTATCCAGAAACTGTCCTTAACCCCAGTACTAGATGGGGTGATATTCCCCCTATAGAACCAAATACAGGATATGTGGTTACTCTTGGAGACCAAATGATCACTGAAAGTACCTATGGCCTCAGTAAGCAGGAAAACCTATGCACAGCTTCAGATCATGAATCCAATTTAGCAATTTCTGGATGAAGACAGTCTGACCTCAGCAGTACATGCACTGGCAATCGCGACTGAATTACTGTAATACTACTGCATATGGAACTGCTGCTGAAGGCACACAGGATTACAGCTGGTGCAGGAAACCATCTAGAGTAGTACATGGACTCAGGAAATCGCCACATTATCTCACTCTTCAGGTGCTATCCTGGCTGCAGATAATATATTGGGCTCAATTTAAAGTAAGGTACTTACCAGTAAAGCCCTAATGCAGCAGTAAACCTTTGTAAAAAACTTCCAATGCACCTGAGATCAATTTGTTTTGCATTTAAGAAAGCATCAGACACATACACATAAAACTGAAGCAGTCAAATGATTACATTAAAATGTTGGTGCATTAAGCTATCCAGAATTATTTTCTGTAATCCTCAATCCCTAAAAATATAAAAAGGGGCTGAAAATTTCAGCTTCATCTCTCCAGGGACACCATCACCAAGGAAAGTAGTCTATCCTACTTAAAAAGCTAAACTCAACTCCACAGATTAGAATTTAAGTTTTCTAATCACTGGAATGGCTCCTGACCCATCCAAAGCAAATTGGTCTCAATAACTCCTCCAACTCCAGAATTTGATTCTATGATCTGTGATAAGGCATAGTGTTTTCCACATGCTGCATAACTGTTAAAAAAAAAAAAAAACTTTTACTCCCCAACTGTCATTAGAAAAAACAGTATCTGCTTTAGCATAGGTATAGTATTCCCTTAGTACATTTTGTTGTGAATAGTCTCCAAATCTTGAAATACATTTAAAAAGGTACAATAATCTGAAAGCAGAACTAGGACTATTCATTCAGGCTAATTTAGTAAGAACCAACCAATCCATTAAAGGTGGAATGTATGTTTTTTTAGATTTTGATAATTTTCAGAAGCCCAAACCAACATGGCCCCTATAAGAGAGATACTGGAAGCTGTAATTCCACATTTGGGAGGGAAACCAGACCACTGGTTTCTGACCTCTATGAGTTAATCAATCTTCTGTAAGTAATTAGAGGATTCATTTTCCATATTTGGATTTGTCTCAATTGTATTTCTCACATGGTCTAGAAATTCTACAGCAATTTTTTTTAGATGTTCTCTTTTAAGGCAACCAGATCTTATAAGTATAGATTTGAATGAAGTAAGTTATGTGCACCAATCACAAGTTTCAGTTCAGACCAAATTTGGTGCATTACAAAATGGTCTTTGATTCAAACTGAATAAAAGGTACACAAGTCTGAAATAATACATGTCCTTCCACTAACATCAGAACATGACAAATTGTTCACATTTTAACCTCTTAACAAAACTGAATAAAATTCCAGACACAGCACAGACTCTTAAGAATATTCACATACTGATTTTACTTCATAAACTTCCAAGATAATTTCAGAAATACTTGTATTTTTGTACTTTTTATTTAATCTTTGTACAGAAGTTTTAAACATTTCCATACAATAACTTGGACAGGACAAAATTCCATATTCAAAAAGAATGTAAACTGCAAGAAATCAGTTTTAATTATACAAATACTCTAATAAGAGTTTCATGTTGAAGACTAATTCAGGAGGCAAAAAATACAGATACAATATACAACAAGCAATATACATACAGCTAGCAATGAGAACTGAGTTTTTCAAAACAGTTTTCTTCAATGTCATATTGGCAATATTCTATACTCAAGCCATTCATTCTATGACAAACTGTGATAAGGATAGTAGCAATGTACAATCAAGAAATATTCATTTCCTTAACATTTCTAGATCTATATTCCTACTATAATAATTTTTATTTAGTTGAATAAAATGTCCTTTATAGTCAGATCATGGACATTTAAGAATGTTTTACTGAAGACCTCTGGAAGTAAGTTTATATATATTTATGCTTATTTGATCCATTTTTCCCTAAAGTTTAAAGACCTGACATGTTGCATGTAACTTTTTTTTGGTCTGCAAAATCTTTTAACAGTTCTTTTAAAAAACTATTGACTCCTAATTTACATACATTGCAGAAAGTACAACAGCAACAAAAACAAAAGATATCAAACGTCTTTTTTAAAAAGTATACCTATATATATACCCAAAGGGAAAGAAAAATTAGCATCACACTGACACTGTACTTAAAACTTAAAGGATGAAGAAAAAGGTATTTACCTAATTATTAGAAAAGAATTTGCTTTCTTCTTGAAGAAGACTACTAGTTTTTTTGCACAGCAACTATTTTTATATCCACCTCATTTAAAAACGTGTGTTCACAGACATTTATATTGTCATATGTCATTGCCATCATTGCGCAGTACCTGACTTTGCCCAGTAAAGCTGATGAATCTTACAAAACTGTAGGGTCATTATGGAACATTTTAGACAGAATCAGAACAAAAATGAAGCATTTTTTAAAAAGCAAACATTCCCAGTAATGGTTATGCGGAGTGTTTGTGTGTGTGAGTGAATGTACTATTTTGTAATCAAGAGGTTAAAAAACTCACAGTGAAATAAGGAATCTTAATTGTATGTACTTACATTTGAACTACTCTTTATTCTAAAGCTAACAAAAAATACATTTAAAACCACTGAATTATACACAATTTCTCTTGAAAAAGCCTTTAAGTATTTTACTCACCTTTAATTCATAACATCACATGTAATAACACTAGCTTTATTTTCAAACATTAAGGGCACAGAATACACAGTATACTGAACAATTAAGATCTTAATTTCAAATACATAATTTAAAGTTTTCCTTAAAAAACTAGATTTATTAATTCAGTATGTAGTTTGTTTGGGGGGAGAGTCTCTCTCATAGACATATCCCACAATACATAATAATTTACCTTAGGTTAAAAATTTTAAATAAAGGTGTGAAACTTAATCATTGTTTTCTGACAAGTATCCTTATCAGTACTTGACAGCCCACAGTCCACAACTTTCTTTTTTCCATTTAGGAAAATACTGTACATTACAAAATGATTTCTGAGGCACAGGCACACCAAAGTACCAGACTAAAATGGTAGAAGGAAAAGAGAAACGGCCAGCATACAATCTTTCATTGTATCTGTATAGCAAAGCAGCGAAAGGGGGTAGAGGGGGGACTTTGGCAACAAAGAGAATAAAACATTTTCTAGAATAGAAGCTATGTTTTCCCTGAATATAGTACAAAAATAAAGCCCTAGTACATCTCTCTTTAGATAAAGCTTCTATTTAAATATACAAATTAAAAGCCATTATATATCTAAAAAGGTATTCTTGATCAACTGCTATGATAATATACAAGGCAATATTTCATCACAAAGATTCAGGAAAAAAAAAATTCCCATGAAATTGCCTGGGTCCATTGGGGAAATGTTTGTATATTCCTGCATATAGACCAAACTAGAGTTCTCCAGATGTGCTGGACAACAGTTCCCAGAATTCCAGCATTAGGCAGCAAATTTGTGACTGAGGAAGGCAAATCTAAACTATCACAGACACTGGACAAATGCTTAGGTGTTAAGAAGTAAATCCAATCTATGGGAAATGGTGTCTTTGCATTTTTGTTTGGGTACCACCAGAAATCGTACTCTGAAGTGTAAAATAGAAGGATCATTATTAGCTAGAGAGTCTACAATGCTAATCACAAGACCAAGAGACACTTACTCATGGAACGTACAACAAGAAATTCTAGCACACAGTCCATAGGATCATCCAAGTTGGAATCCTACTCAGTGACATTTATCAGAACTGATTTTGCAGTGGTATTAGAAGCTTAGGAAAGTTCATCTTTATTAAAGTAAAATGCTACACATTTCCATTTAGCAAAGATACTAATATAGCCCACTATTAATAGTTGTAGTTAAACTGTAATGAGACTTATGTGCTTAAATATTTTATTTTGGGATAATTTCCCTTAGTATTGTACATATAGTTATGTACAAAAGGGCTATATAGCACAACATACAGTGATCTAGAGATACACAGGACATAATTTTTTAAGAGATTAAGTGTTCTATATATTATGCCTTCTGTTAATGTAAAAATAATCACTGAACAGCCATTAACAATGAACATAGGCTATGATTAACTGTTTAATTAGTCTTCAAGACTAGAGATACACTTGTGCTTAGAAAAATATAAGTGCTCCTTTATGGCACAGATAAAAATGTGAAGTCAGCAAAAAATGTTTTCATCACAGATGAGATGTGGCAACCTAACAAGGTTATATTTTGCTACTAAAAGGCACTATAACAAGCTATTACACATTTACTTTCTTAATTTGAAGGAAACAACAGAATTACAAGATATAAAATGAATGTTCAGTAGTAAAAGTAAAGGAATACAGGAAGCTCAGTTAAAATGTGATGCTTACACTTATAGAAGGATTGAATTAGAAGTTACAGTTATATCATCCTCTACTAAAAACAACAGCAAAAACGGGGTTGTCATGGTCTAGCCAATTATGCAGCCCAGTGTAGACAATCATCTTAGATAATGGTAACCAATGAAAGTGTTCCAAAATGTCACACTTATTTGCAAACCCTCACAAACAAGAAGTGGATACTTCAGAGAAAACCATACTTCTATGTTAAGTAGAAACTTGAAGGACTGCAATCTGCTCCAATCAACCCTAATTAACAAAGCAAAGTATTAAACTATGGCCTAATCTCCCATTTTAACAGTTTCATTGAAGGTGGGCAACCTATGGCCCACGTATGGCCCCAAAATCCTGTTCAGCTATCACTGTAGAAGTTCAGCAAATCATCAAGGAGTAGCACTGATTTTTCTAGTGGGAGGGGGAAAAAAAGTATGGGTTACACCTTTAGAAAGGATTAGCGCACTGTAAATAACCCCCCAAATGTTTTTAGAAATGGAAAAATTGGCTTCATCCATTTGATGACTGTAGCCTCCATCTGTCCCATATAAGAAATTTTTAAAAATGTTTGCAAAATGGTTACCCAGCTCAGGTTTAGAGTTTCAATAAACAAGCACAGCAGCATTCAGTGCATATTCCAATAGCTTGTTTGTTCACTCTTAATTCCAAAGTGCTGTGGCAACAGAAACTATTGTTCCCTCAGAGATGGAATGATGTACTCTATACTCATTTGCTGATGCACTGGAAGTGATACTACACTTGATCTTAGCCAAAAGGCCAAGGAGCAATATTCAGGGTCCCCATTTTGGGTAATGAAAGCACAAAAATCCATAACAAAAAAAGTAAACTTATGAACAGCATTGCAACTTATGGAAGAGGTAATAGTCTAAACTACATATAGCAAGAAAAGGAACATTATTGGAAGGTCCAAACATGATTAATTGGTACATTTAAAACATTTGGCAAAAATTTCCCTTATTGGTTAATTGGTCCAACATTTTAACATTTTATGAACCACTTTCGTCACTTGAAACATGGCTGTACCACATGAGTCAATTTCAAATAGATTCAGAAATAACTCTGCCATATATACTAATACTGCACACATACTAAGTTATTTGAGATTGAGACAGTGAGAGTATTAGACACCGCTATTTTAATGTGGCTGTAAGGCTATACAAGGTATCTTGGGAGAAGTGGAGGGAGACAGCCAAACAGATCCCTGAGCTAGCCAATCTGAACGTCAATGCTAGCAACTCATTCAATACAACTACTTCTGAAAGTGCTAGAAAGAGCAATGCTATCTTACTCAGCAGTGATCCACTTTTCATAACTGACATCATCTACTGTCTCTAGCCATGGAAGGTAAGGATGTGCACTACTTCAGATCTGAAGCCAAAAAGGAGCTTTGGAGCCAGCGTGTCAACACTTCCTTAAAGAAGCTGTGCTTTCTTCTGGGCTCGCAAAGCAGCTATACAATCCCCAGAAAATATGCATTTGAGTTAGTGAGGCACCAAAATGTCCCATTGCCTGCTCTAAAGCACTTTTTTTAAGCTTCAATAGAATATTGCACATTCCTTGAAAAGGCTTTTGGCCCAGTACACAAAGAAGCTCAATTCACGGTAGAAGCCAACAAAAACAATCTTGCTACAGTATTTACAAAATACACTGCTTTTGAAATTACATCACTTAATCAAGATTGAAACTACAATTTACTATCATGTCTCTAGTTTTTTCATATTAATTCCATCATTCAGTAATAAATGTTACTTAATGACATTTTTTCACTGACCGTGGGGGAAAATTCTACAGCAAAATAGCAGTATGCTATTGCCAATCAGTCAAGACAATTTTTGGTTATTTTATAATATTGTATGCTGTTACACCCCTTCGTGGATCACTGCCTTGTTGTGGCGAAGAGGCTTGCGTAACTCAGTGAAGCCATGAGCTATT